CACTAGATCCACCAAAAGTGGAAAGAAAAAGACCTTCTGCCACGTCATCCAGCCACGCACTTCCTCTGAACTACATCATCTAGATGCAGATGTCTGTACAGCACTGGCTTAGCTCCCTCTTCTTCTGTCTTAAGACACACAAACAGACACATAATAAATAAAGGAACAGTTTTAAAGTCTCAGAGTGTATCCTCTACATAATTGCTACGTTTATCCGTAATGATATAGGAAGCGTTCAGTCCCCCCCAAAAAAAACCCCAAAACCTCAAGCTCAGGAGATAACACCCCTCGACTATTATAATTTAGTTTCATTGCCTCTGTAATTACAAAAGTGAAGGCAATGCATTTTCTCTGCCTGATGGGGAAGATACAAAAGTAAAAGGTCAAGTCTTTATCTGTCTGTGGTTCTGCCACTGACTAACTGTATAATCTTGCGCAAATCGCTTTGAGATGTTGTGTATATCAGGTTCCTTGGTAGGATAAAGAGTAAATGGCATCTTCCCACTCTGCAAATAATTTTAGGTCTATGTCTGTTCTAGTAGTTTAATAATGTTAATCAACACTAATTTACTGGACAGTGCTTTTAAACACTCTCTTGAGTTTATTTTTCTGTGTTAGGATTCCCAAACCTGTTTTTATTGCCACGACTGTAAAATGCATTTAAAACATGCAGTTTTTATCATGCTGTTTTCCCAAGACTGTTAGTGAAAATGTTTTTTCTTTCAGGAGTTTGTTGTTTTCCTCTAGTGTTGGCTGACATCACTCACAACTGATCTGAAAAGTCATGCCATCATAGCAATATCAGAGTATAGCCTGAAACTTTGACTTTGTTCAGAATTGTTCAGTTGCCCTCATTCAACCCAACTATTTATTCTTTTATCCTCTCATCCATTCATTCTCTCACGTACCCTGCTTCTGACCTATTCACAGCATTATATATTGGTTTGCAAACCTCCGGGCATGTGGACTGCCCTTTTCACTGACTTACTGAAAACCTACCACCTGTTCCCTCACTCACTCTTGGACTGATCTGCCCTCAGCCTCAGATCTGGCTTCCGAGCCAGTTTTTTGGTCTTTCATCCCCTACTCTCCTCTGGTATCTTCTACCCTGCAGCTTATTTCTTCCTGAGCTTAATTAAGGACTTCAGGTTTAAGAGCACACTCTGTTGTTACAGCTTTCTTTAACTTTTTCCTTGCTCAATTCTTTGGAGTTTTTTTTTTTTCCTAGCACAGATTTTATTACAGCTTGCCTAGACTTAAAATACCCACGTGTATATTCAACCCTCAACACGTTGTCTGAACTAGGTATATTATGACTGGGGCAGTCTTTACATGTTATTACCTTGCAGAATGCATCATCTGTCCTTTTGAAGATCAGACTTTATTACGCTTATAGTAGAGGTTTTTAAAAGCATGTTTCCTGCGTGTTCTTGGAATACTCATTATGGAATTGCTGTGGACATGTATTAATAATTGCTCATCATGTGATCTCACTGCCGCAGCATGCAGTACTTGAAAACCGATAATCCTTTTTTAGGAATACAAAATCAGTTGTAATTACTGCAAGGGCAAGTGTCTTTAGCCTTACACCAGCAGTTCACATACAATCTACAATAATGTCACAGACCTTTGGAAGCCTCCCAGATTTGTGTCCATCATGCCTTGGAGGCCATTTGTTTTTTAAGTCCCGTGAAAGACACTACTCGCAGCTGGAAGAGTAGGAATGTTCAGTGGTGCAATTTTTGCTACACCGTTGTTATTACCACAGTGTTTCCTTCTTCTCAACAAATTCCATTCAGTAATTTCTCAGCAAATTCCATTTAGCTGCTCTGGGTTTTTGGAACCTTGTGCAGGCTGCAGGCTCCCTGGGGAAAACGTGACAAAATCCCTGTGGTTCTCCTACTTGGTTCTAAGAACCGCCCTAGCCTAGACTTCATGGGAAAGAGATTAAAAAAGCATCTTTGTTTCTTCCTTTGGAATGTAATTTCACAGCTGTATCTCTCGGGAGATGCCTACAGTCTTGTCCAGGAGGGGTTTGCTAGCATATAGGTGGTTAAAGCATTGGTGCCACTGGCAGAATTTTGGGTTTTTTGACCACAGGGCTAATTCTATGGTAGAGTCAGATGGGCTTCATCTATCTAGCAAGGGCAAAAGGATTCTAGCCCACAAGTTGTCAGGGCTGGTCAGGAGGGCTTTAAATGAGGTTTGAAGGGGGAAGGGATCGAAATCAGGCTCTCCAGAGATGAGCCTAAGGGTGGAAAGCCCGAGTTAAGGGTGAAATCAGCGGCCCAGATGAAGTGCATGTTCACCAGTGCACACAGCATGGGCAACAAACAGGAGGAGCTGGAAGTCATCAACAGGAGGAAAGCTGTGATGTAGTTGCTATCACATGGTGGGATGACTCGATGACTGGAGTGCTGCTATGGATGGCTACAAGCTCTTCAGAAAGGATAGGCAGGCTGGGAGAGGTGGAGGGGTGGCTCTGTATGTTAGAGAGTCTCTTGGCTCTGTAGAACTTGAGGTAACCAGTGATATGGTTAAGTGTTTGTGGATCAGAATCAGGGGGAAGGCCAACAAGGCTGATATCCTGGTGGGAGTGTGTTACAGACCACCCAACCAGGATGATGAAGGGGATGAATTATTCTACAAGCAGTTGGTGGATGTCTCGAAATCGCCAGCCCTTGTTCTCGTGGGTGACTTTAACCTGCCAAATGTCTGCTGGGAACTCCACACAGCAGAGAAGAGACAGTCTAGGAGATTCCTAGAGTTTATAGAGGATAATTTCCTGCTCCATCTGGTAAATAAGCCTACCAGGGATGGGGCCTGCTAGACCTTCTGTTCACAAACACAGAGGGGCTGGTGGGAGATGTGGTGGCTGGAGTCCGTCTGGGGCACAGTGACCATGAAATAACAGAGTTTGCAATACTCAGGGATGCAAGGAGGGCCATCAATAAAACCCCTACGCTGGAACTTCTGCAGGGCAGATTTCAGCCTACTCAGAAGACTGGTTCAGAGGGTACTTTGGGAAACAGCCCTTGGAAACAAAGGGGTCCAGGAGGCATGGACATGCTTCAAGAAGGAAGTCCTGAATGCACAGGAGCAGGCTGTCCCAGTCGGCTGAAAGGCAAGCCAGCAGGGAAGATGACCAATCTGACTGAACAGGGAGATTTTGAAGGAAATTAGGGGAAAAAAGAGAGCCTACCGGTTACGGAAAGGGCTGGCTACTCAGGAAGAGTTAATGAATATAGTTAGGTCATGTAGAAAGAAAATTAGAGAGACAAAGGCACAATTTGAACTCAATCTTGCCACTTCTGTCAGAGATAACAAGAAGTGCTTCTCCAAATACAACAATAGCAAAAGGAGAGAAAAGGAAAACCTCCATTCTTTGTTGGACATGGGCGGGAACGCAGTTATCAAAGAGGAGGACAAGGCTGAGGTATTTAACACCTTCTTCACCTCAGACAGGTTGTCCTGAGGACAGCTGGCTTCTGGAGCTTGTAGACAGGGTTAAGAAGCTTACTAGCTCCCTGTAATCCAGGAGGGAACAGTTAGCAACCTGCTGAGCCACTTGGATCCTCACAAGTCTACCGGACCAGATGGGATCCACCCAAGGGTGATGAGGGAGCTGGTGGAAGAGCTTGCCAAGCCGCTCTCCATCATTTCCCAGCAGTCCTGGTTCTCTGGGGAGGTCCCAGACAATTGGAAGTTGGCGAATGTCACACTCATCCACAGAAAGGGACGGAAGGAGGCTGTAGCCAGGTGGGGGTTCTCGCAGGAGCCAGCAGTAGAATAAGAGGGCTTGGTCTTAAGCTTTGCCAGGGGAGGTTTAGGATGGACATTAGGAAGCAATTTTTTACAGAGAGAATGATCAGGTATTGGAATGGGCTGCCCAGGGAGGTAGTGGATTCACCATCCCTGGAGGTATTTAAGATGAGACTGGATGTGGCATCAGTGCCATGGTCTGGTAACCACAGAGGGGTTGGATCAAGGGTTGGACTTGATGATCTCGGAGGTCTTTTCCAACCCAGTGGATTCTATGACTCTACGTTAATATCAGCAGCCAGTCCCAGAGGAGATTGAGCTTATTCTTCTGCTGGTATAAATTATAGCAATTGCCTAAATAAAATACAGTAAGGATTTTTTTACCCTGCTACCCTATTTGCAATATGGATTTTCTAGTATGTGTTCAACATTTGATCCTTTTTTACGCTCCTGTTAAGTCCCAGGCAAATCATCAGAAGTGGCTATCCCTCTTCCTGGCAGGCCCTGGCCCTTCAGCCCCTCCTGCTCCGTGTTGCTGTTGCCTCCCAGAGCTGGGCATGGCTACTTTTTTCTCCATGCTTCATATGCAACGTTTTGATGGCAAATGAATATATTTGATGTTAACAGTGCAATGGACAACCGGTGGCCAAGCGTTAAGCTGGCCTAAGTCAAATCATCATTCTGAAAACGTTATGAAGGGAAGGGGATTCCCCAATGTTTTCCACACAACAAACTGTTTGCTGGCTCTGCTAATGCCCTCCTTCAAACCCTACTGTTTCAAAGACCCTGAAATATCAAGGTGGTCAGGTCTTGCCACGCATCTAAACTTTCTTCACCTGGGGTTATCATTATGACTCCATGTCTTCAAAAGGCTCCATTTCCTCAGTAATTTCTTCTTGGCAGTATTTCTTATCTACAGCTACTGTGAATTATGGATATTAGAAATTGACTGCCATGTTATTGCAACACTACACACATACTGTGTAATGCTGGAATTAAAATGTCAGCCAGCAAAGCAAATGCCAATAAACAAACAATATTTTGTTCAGTCTTGCTGAAATGACTCCTGCTAACCAAGCTGTATCAATCTGATGACACTGGGTATCACCTGTTCCACAGCAATAAAAAGAAAAGCCCAGTCAACCCATGTGTTGGTCCATGTCATTCATCAGAACAGTCACACCAGGCGTGCAGGGACACGATGGTAATCAATAACTCATCCGTGACTCAGCAGAAGGATGGCGGGTGAGACCTGTGCAGACACACCGGTCCATTTTCTCTGCTCCTTCAATACCGCCGAGCAGCCACCTGGGCGAGCCTGCCTTGAAGGTGCAGTCAATTCCAGCACCGCCCGCTTTCCATACGTGAGCTACCGGCATTCCCACGGTGGCGAGAGGCTGGATCCCCGACGCGGTGTGGGGTTCGCGGGTCCATCCTGCCCTCCCCGGCGAGACGGAGGAGGTGGAGGGAGCAGGGGGGGATGCGACAAGTGCGGCGGGGTGCGGGACAGGACAGCGCACCCGCTGCGGGCTGAGGCGCGGCCGTTCCCCAGCCCCGCAGCGCCGGGACGAGCCGTGCGGGGGGAATGGACGGCGGAGCGCGCCGCTGCCGTTAACGGGCAGGGCCGGGGAGGGCAGGGCAGGGCAGGGCAGGGCAGGGCAGGGAGGGCAAGGCAGGGAGGGCAGGGCAGGGCAGCACCGAGGCGAGGCCGCCGCAGCCCCCCCCCAGGCCGGACCCCCGAGAGCGAGGGCCGGGCCCGCCCCCCGCGGCCGCCGCCATACTGCGGGGCGACCCAAACTTGTTACTCGCGGGCACCAACTCCTCCCGCTGCCGCCGCCGCTGCTGCTCCTCCTCCTCCTCCCGCCGCCGCCCTGCCCCTCCGCCGCGGGGAGGAGGGCGCTGCGCCGGCTCAGCCCCAGCCGCGGGGAAGGCGCCGAGGCGGGCGGGGGCCTTGCGAGGGCAGCGCCGCAGCCCCCCGCAGGTAGGAGCGCCCGGCGGGGCGGGCCCGGGGGGAGGAGACGGCGGCGGCGGCGGCGGGGGGCGGGCGGAGGGAGCGGGAGGCGGCGGCGGCGGTGCCGGAGCGGTCGGCGCTGGGGCAGCGGCTGGCCGTGCCCGCCGTGCCTTCTTCTTCTCCGAGGTGGGTGCGGGGCTGGGGGGCCCGGGCGGGCGCTGCGGGCGGGGGTCGCTGGCGGCCCCCACCCGCGGCGAGGCGGAGAGGAGGAGCCTCCCGCGGCAGCAAATGAGCGAGGGCTTGCCAGGTTTATAAATCTGGTTTTGCTCCCACCTCCCCTTCACCCCCCTCCCCCCCGAGTCCCGCCGGCTCCGGCGCCAGCGACCGCCCGGCGCGGCTCGGCCAGGTGCGTGGCTGGGGCGGCCACCGGGCCCGCTGCCCGCGCTGCCCCCGCACCTGCCGCGGCTGCGGGGCCGGGGCGGCCTCGGGGCGGTGCGGACCGTGGCGAGGGGCTTCGGCGGGGCCGGGCAGGGGTCGGTTTCCCTGTGCCGGCAGCCCAGGTTGCCGGGAGCGGGGCCGGGGAGGCCGCTGCCCCCGCCGGGAAAGCGCCGCGCCTCCGCCGGCGGAGAGCGGGACGCGGCGCTGGGGTGCTCGCTGCTGGGAAACCGGCTCTGAAGAGCTGTTTGTGTGCTGTTTTTATTTTTCAGCTGTCAGGAGAGTTTAATTCGGGTCTCGGCGGAGGTGCCCGGTTTGCAAGGTATGGGTGAAGCGAGAGTTTGCCGTCCCCGTTTGCCCTTGATCTGATTCTGAGGGGGTGTCTTCGCTGGCTCCCCGAGGTGTGGGCTGTTGGGTGATGTTTTCCGCGTATACGAAACTATGCATCGTCGGCATTGAAGGGAGAAGGATTGAGTGGATGAATGTAGCCGTGGTAACTTCATTGTTACAGCTCCTTTCTGTGACGTGCTGCCTTTAGCAGGGAGGGGAGCAGGAGCTTGCTCCTGCCCTGATGTGGGAGGGGACCTGATGGATCTGCAGGTTGAAGCGCTTTTTCAAGTCTGCTCTTTCATTTAATGCTGAAACATTTTCCTGTCTTCAGTCCTGCCTTTTTTAATCGTGTACCTCTTGCAGGTAGTTGTTACTTAGGCTGAAGAATGTGAAACATCACTTTTAAGTCTTTGACAACCGAGTGTTTCTGGTAGGCTCTGGAAATCAATGTAGTTTTAACGCCTCTTAAAAAAAAAAAACATAATAAAATTCCTGCTATAATTATCGATAGGCTGTTGCCTGCTTTATGCCCATCAGGCTCAGAAATAGCTACTAATCTCATACTCCCCTTTGGATACCTGTGTGAAGGTTTTGTTAGAGAACTGCTTAATGACTTCTTATTATTAGAAAGAGTGCGAGCTCAGGCGGTTACGCAAGTGCGCCTAAAGGAAGCCGCGCTGACTGCATGGATGGCAAATGTGGAGGCCGTGCAGGAGTGGGAGTATCATTTACAAACTGAGTTAGAAAGGGGCATTGTAGGAGAGAGAACCCTGCAGCTCGAGTGGGGTGAAACAGTCCCCGCCGTGCAGGGAGAGGTGTTGGTGCAGTGTGCTGCCTGGGATGAGCACTCGTAATTCTTTCCTGTAGCTGAGATGAGGTACAGGTGACTTTTCCACTGGAAGCAAATGAGTGGCAGGGGAACGTGTTTCTGCACGTATGTTCTTAAAAGGAAATCAAAACCAAAAAAAAAAAAAAAAAAAAAGCTTTTCAAATGTGGAGCTGGATCGGCAGATGAAGCTTTACTGGCTTTACTAGGATCTCTTGGCCTGAAGAGGAAGTATTTCACCGTTCCCCCCCTCCCCTGAAGCAATTACTTTAGGTACCCTTTGTGATGGTCAGGGATTGCTACAGAGCCCGCTGACAAAAGCTGCTTGCATTCATACTTACCGAAATAGGTCTGCAGTTGTTTATTTATTTACTTTTTATTTGAAACGAAAGCCATTGTAGGGTGGTTGCTACTTCCACAGCAAATGAAGCATTTGATGTGAATGGATCTATTTCAAAACTGTCACGCTGATTCAGAGGTTTTTCTGGACACTGGAAGTAGGGGTGTGCCCACAGACTGCTTTTAACGTGCTGTGTTACCATCTCTTTGCTGGTATATTGCGATTCAGTCCCCTCTCCTCCTCCTCCTGTCCCTGTATAAAACCTAATAACCTTTTGTTAACCTCCTCTCATGGATACAGCAGTACCGTGCCAAAATGTGTGTCTTAATACCACTTAGAAGTCCTGCAAGGAGAGGAGTTGTTCTGGATGCCCTGGTGCTTCCCTTGCTGGCCTCTCTCGTGGGCAGCTTGAGCTTCAGAGTTACCTGCTTCTTACTGGGGAGGAGCTGGAGAGGATCTGTCACCTGTCCATAGCCACTTGGCTGGAGTTGGAGACTGCACTGTGCTCGCTCTTTGGTGGACTCTCACCCTCGCTGCCAGCTGGCTTAGGGGTTTTGTGTCAAATGAACATTCTGTCGTTAAAATGCATCATCTTAGATGTTTTCTTACAGTGAAGTAAGTGGCAGGTCTCTTTCAGTCATGTCAAAATTAGTTCTTGGTCTGGGCTGCTGGCGTTAGGTGCAGTCCTTGCATGTGCCACCTGGTTTGCTAAAGGTGTTGCATGAGTTGGTAGATAAGTTGTGCCATACTCTGATTTTAAGGATGACTTTCCGAAGTGGGACTCTGAATCAAGGGAAATAAAATCTTGGAGCATTTCTGTCATAGTTGTGCTGTCTTGGAGCTCTGCCAGTTTTTTTTTGCTTCATTTGTGGTTTTCTCCAGGAAAAATGGAATCTCAAGCCACAGTTGTTGCAATAGGGATTTTGTAGATAATAAGGAAATAGGGTGTTTATGCTGAATGTTCAGAGGTGAAGTTTTTTTATCCCAGTTTTTGCTGTGCAATGGTAACTCGAAATAATTGCCAAGGTTGACTGAAATTTCTTGTAAGCCTTCAGTGCTTTGAAATGTTGGGTCTTGTTGGATTCATATTCTGTGATTTAAAGTGAGCTGAAAAGGAGTTTCTGAAGGTAAATTACCATGAAAGTGTTTTTCATGAGTGGGTGCTGATCTACTGTGCTACTTATTAAACTGAGGTTTAAGTAATTAAATTACTTATAGATGTGACTGAGAGAATTTTTCACAATGTTTTAGTTTCAGAAAAAAATCATTAAATATTTTCTGGATGGCACGTGATAATAAGGTTGGAGATTTTTAGTTGACAACAAAAAGAAGCAAAGCAGGTCGTTAACTTCCCTGAGTTATCCATTAGAAGTTCCTCTCTTTTTTTTTTTTTTTTTTTTTAACACATGTCTGTAAATTGCTGTGTTGGAAATTTAAAGTGGGAATTCAGATTTTTATTATTGTGTTAACATTAAACACTTCAGGGAGGTTGTTCTTTGTTGTGCCTTGTACTTAGCTGCTGTATCCTGCGCTAGTTAGCTGAAGAAAGGTATGCCCAGTTGGGAAGTTGCATAATAAACAAGGAGGTGGGAAGTGCTTTTGGCTTTTTATTTGATTCTTCTTTCTCTCAGGCTTTCTCCTGCCTTGTAATTAGTCATTTCTCTGATGATACAGCAGCCTTTTATAACACCTTCTTATAGTCCTGTGCTTGAGTGTCTAGATAGACAGGTAGAAGAAATGCATTGAAAAGAATGAGAAAAGTCCCACTTATGTTACTTGTGTCTCAAGTTTGGGGAAGTTGGAATGGCTGTAGAGTTGTTGTACCAAGAGGAGCTTGTGAATGTCAAAAGGCTGCTGCAGGTTCCGTTTGGAGAGTTAATTCACCTCTGTGTGGATGTAGCTGTGCAGGCTGGGTGTGGAAGCTGTTTTAATTGTTTTCCTTGTGATATGAGGGGTTTGTCTTTGTTTCTTAGATGAATTAGTGAATGGAACAAAACTGACTTTTTCTTTTACCACAACTCTTCAACTACAAAAAGTAGCACCTCATATTTTGGACTGATGTGTGCCATCATCTTGGATGATGGGGAAGTTACAGCTCTTGCTATACAGAGCTGGATTAGAGGGGTCTTGCATTAATTCTATTCTGGCCAAAAAGCTTTTATGTTCCGTCTTTTATCTGCCTTTAAAACACCAGGAATGCAAAGGGCTGTTTAGCTTTCTGGGGGTGCTGCTGCAGCCTGCCTTCATTATGAGGAAACTTAGTGCCGGCAGTAAGAAGTGTGTTGTGCTCCACTTCTGCTAACCAAAGGTGTCTGTGAGCTGCTCTGTCTCCTCCTGCTCCTTGCAACACCGAGCTGTGCTGCAGTGAGCTGCTGGATATGTGAACAGGTCTCTGAAAATGGCATGAATAAATAAAGAAAAACTTATTTTTAGTACAGTTAGTGTTACTTTTTTTTTTTTCCTAAATCATGGGATGGAGGAGAATAAAAAGACTTTTTTTTTTTGAATGGGAGGTGTGCATGTTGTTTGTAGTACTGTAACTCTTGAGATTTTTGACGAGTGTTTTAAAGCACTGAACAGCAACCTTTACTTCAAGAGAATGTTCTTACATACCAGTTTTTCTGGCCTGAGGGGGACGCAAAACAGATGGAAAAATAGTAAAAACCTGGACTGTAGATGTAAGCAGATAAGGAACTTCTCTAAAGACAGTAAATAAAGTTAATTGAAACCCATGTATCAAGTTTAGAGTAAGTCTGTTGGTAATCTAGAAGTAGCGTACCCACTTTCTTGTCTTTGCCCGCTCTTCCACCTATTTCTTTTTCTCTCTCTTCATGTACAGCAGTGAACACATAATCCACCAGGCATTTTCTGCACTGATCCTCTTAAAAAATTAGTATTAGCCTATATATGAGGCAGGCCAAAGAGGATTGAACACTGCTGCAAAATTAGTACCTGTTGCCCTCATTGCAAGGGCAGGGAAGTTCCCTTTCTCTTGTGAGGAGCTTGGTCGTGCTTTCTTTGCAGGGCTGTGCGTGCCAAGCAGATGTGCAGGTGATGGAGCATGGATATGGAAGGGACTGGGAAATCCTGACCTTGTCAGAGCATCTTATTACTCGCATGGAAGACATGCAAAGCAGGGGAGTGTTTAGGGAGATGGGCAGTTCTGCTGGGAAAGCAGGCAGGGGAGTAGAAACTTGTGCAGACTTGGGTAGCTCTTCACCGGTGCGCAGACAGAGACACCGAAGGTTGTCTGGAAGCTAAAGCAGGTCTGGCAGAACCTTGGCGAGGCAGAGTGGGAAGTCTGGTGTTCCTCCGTGCTTGAATAAAACGTCCAGGTCCACATGGATTTGCATGCATTGCAAATGGCAGAGTGGAGGAGTAGGGGGAAAAAATGCATGAAATGTGATTATGGTTCCTGCTTTGTTCAGGAGTGGTTTTCAAGGGCAGGCTTTAACTGTGCTTCTGCTCAGTTCTCCTCCTTCTGCCAATATAAAGCAGGCATTATTCTTGCCCCAAATAATTGTTTGTATACGCTCATTTGTGCCTGTTTTTTTTTTTTTTTTTAATAAGTGATACTGTATGAACGTTGTCATTGTACATGCAGAGAGATGCATGGAAACATGGAGGCTTTTTGTTTTTATAGAATGTCTTTGTTCTCATTTTCAGTGAACAAGATAATGAGTTCAGTTTGTTTGTTACTGGAAAAACAATGCAGGATGTAGGGAAGAGAGCTAGACATGTGCAAGCCTTTGGATTTGTGTTTGAATTCTCCCTCCCTGCAAATTCGATGTGTTCTGGAGAGAATGGAGCAATATAGACTTTTTAA